TCTCTCACCCGGCATGGGGCTTCCTACGAATCACACTTCACACCATATTCATAATACTCATGATTTCTTTTTTACGTTTTTGAGAATTTTATCTGTCTACATAATGTACTTTGATCGTATTCCCTCCCTACTCTCCACTCCCACTCCTCCTATATCTTTTCCATGTCCCCCGCCCAACTCCATGTCCTCTTTTCTGAGAGTCCCTTAGCACTAAGGCCAATAGGTGCTGCTCACACAACATGGAGACTGGCCACCTAGCAGGGTGTAGCATTCTCTTCATTTCATTCTTTGGGATTTCATACACATATGCAATAAAACATCATATACACTCTCTATTTTACCCCTCCAGCTTCCCCCACATCAAAACTCTCTCCCTCCAAACTCCATTTTGTCTTCTTTTTTTAAATAACTCCAATCAGTGATTCCTATGTGTGTAAGAGTATGAGGTATAGGAAGCCTACCAATGGCCACGCCCTCAGAATGACGCTACCAACTGCCAGCAGTTCTTCATTAAAGGGTGGGGTTGGAAAGTGTCCCCTCTATCCGTCCAGTAACTTCAGCTGGCTTGATCGTGTGTGGCTCTTGCGGAGGTAACCACAGCTCATGAGAGTTCATGAATGTGACATCCACGTCATGTCCGGAAGACAGCATTTCGCAGCACTGCTCCCTATCCTCCATGTCTTGGTACTTCTATTACTGCGATAAACACCATGTGGCAAAGCAACTCGGGGAGCAAAGGCTTTATTTCATCTTACAACTTGTAGTCCATCGTTCAGGGAAACCAGGGCCGGAATTCAAGGCAGGAACCTGGAGGCAGGAGCTGATGCAGAGGCCGTGGAGAGGTGCTGCTCACTGGCGTGCTCAGCCTGCTTTATTATACCACCCAGGACCAACTGCGCAGAGAGGGCACCCAGGGAGCTGAGCCCACCCACATCAATCATCAATCAAGAAAGTGACAATCAAGTTGGCCCATAGGCCACTCAGTAGTCTCGCAACTGAGGTCCCCCTTTCAGAATGACTCTAGCTTGTAAATTGACATAAAGCGAACCTGCATGCTCTACCTCTTCCTTTCTCCCCACCTGCTCTTCTTCAGGATTGCCTGAACATAGGCAGGGGTGGGGTTGGTAATAAAAGGCACTCAAGCTTCTTATCCTCAGTATTCTGACTGTTAAGCATCTCCGCATCAGCTGCTGCTCTCTGCAAAAGGAAGTTTCTCTGGGCACTACTGTTGCACTGGCCACTTTCTGACTGGATTTTAAAGCTTGCTCCACAGAAGGAATTTCATACCTGGTATTGTAACCATGGTCAAAAGCCCTAGGGTAGAACTTGCTATTGTTATTGTACACTATTATTAATGTGAATTATGTTTCGATAAATACTTACACACACAAAGCTTGACGTAGTGGCAAATGTGTCTAATTCCAAGACTCAGGAAGACTGAAACAGGAGGATTGCCATGAATTTAAGGCAAGTCTGGGATGCATAATAAGATGCCATCTCCAAAACCCAAACAGAAAGGAGAAAAGGGTAGAGAGGAAAAGAAAGGAGGGGAGAGGAGAGCAGGGGAGGGAAGGGCATGGGAGGGGAAGGGAGGAGAGGAGAGAAGAGAAGAGAAGAGAAGAGAAGAGAAGAGAAGAGAAGAGAAGAGAAGAGAAGAAAAGAGAGAGCCTTCACACATACACAATAAAATGTACAAAGTGCTCCTAGAGGTGGGAGAACTGGTCACTTCTTGGTAGTGTCTGGGTTACTCAGCCTGTTCTTCTAGGAGGACAAGGAGAGGCCTTCTTCTTGTCCCAATTGAGGTGTCGTTAGCTGACCACAACCTAGCACAGTGACTGACATGCAGCCACCACAACTGTAATAGCAGTGAATAGTGGAGGTTAATAGCTGACAATTACTGGGTGTGTGCCATTGTGAGGACTTCCCCAATGCTTTAATTGCATCAGCCTACTTAACTCTCAATCCTGGCATATGCTATTACAAACCCACTGTACAAAGGAAACACGAGACACTGGGACTGAGGTGGCTTAGGAGTGATGTGACACCATGTATTTCCTCCACAGCCTGGAATGCCTCTGTCCTGACACATTCCTTATTTAACCATCCAGCTAAGGGTTAGCTACTCTATCCATCCTGGTCCTGCGTCCTCCCAAACAGTACAGCTAACCCTTTGTTCTACCCAAGCCTTTATCCATTGTCCAATGCAATAGCTATCACATTCAGCCACATCGTGTCTTTTTTTTTTAATAAGCAAGGATGGTATACATCCACCATAACAAGAGGTAAGCTGACATTTGGCTAGGAGAATAGGATGTTTTCCTCAATGCTATATCCCAGGTTTCCAAGCAATAATCGGCTCATAGTTCATACCTATTCCCCACCAGGCGCTGTTTTATATGATTTAGCATACACCATCTTACCAAAACAACAGATCTCTTTTCTATGTGTGTTTACATCTTCTGATTCCTTTGACTGTCCAAGTAACCTAGTAGAGTGAGCTTTATAGGTAAAATCATCCCTATATGAAAGATAGGGAAACTGAGGCACGTGTGCTACTCAACATCTCTCCTCCGGGTCCTTGAACCTAAAGGTGTCCATTAGTGAAGACTTCCTGCCAGCACTTCCAGTAGGATGATTAATGGGCCTGTGAACTCTCACCACCAGACAATATTCCCTTTAAGTGGCCATCAGGGTCATCTGAGAGCAGGAACCACATGTGTGTGCTGAGAACACAATGGCTTGGTGGAAGCAAAGACATTCTAAAGAAACACTTCGTCCTCCAAAACAATACAGAGAAACCCTGTCTCGAAAAACCAAAAAAAAAAAAAAAAAAAAAAGAAACACTTCGTGTCTCTCAACCCATCAGATGATTGAAACAGTGGATCCCAAAGAAACGAAAAAAGGGGCTCTTGGTGGGAGAAGGGAAAGGCTCCAGCCAGAGGGGGCCTGACTCCAGGGAAGAGGTTCCACACCATTCTAGTCACTTCTCAGACCGCCTTACAGGAGGACTGAAGTCCAGATCAGTGATGGACAGGACCACACCCAGACTAGGATGTCTTCAACATGCATATCCTTGGACCTCTATTTAAATTTTGATCTTAGTTCAGGAACTTGGAGAGTTCACTGGGTCCCTTTGTCCTTCTTCCAATGTGACCACATGAATCAATCTCTTCCTGTTTCCCACTTGTGATCGCCTTCTTTTAAACGACTTATTGGGGATAGGTGGCCACACCTGATATGGGACAACAGGTTAGGACCTCTGAGTTCCATTAAAGAAGGAAGTGAGATGTTGGAGGAAAGGCAGAATTTGTAATGACCTGACAATATGGAGTAAGCGAGAGCCACGTGGCTGTGTTTACAGGAAAAGATTGAGTCCGCACGTTTGTGTCTCAACAGCCAGGGTCTGAAGAAACGAGAACAGAGGAAGCAAGTCTGGTGGAGAAACCGCCAGGAAGAGTTGGGGTAGGTGTGGAGGACTCCGGCTACTTCGGTGACCCTGAAAGGTCGTGTGACCCACCACCTCTCCACGTAATAAGCAGGTCCTGCCTGGGCCCTGAGGAAGAGCAGCTGAGTAACCCAGGACACTGGCCCTTCTACATGATGTCACAGGAGAGCCACAGGTCTAAGTCACTAGACTTCAGTTCCATGGATCCCCTTCCTGAATTCCTTCCTCAAACACCTGCTGAACCCATCAGGTGAGGACACTAGGCCAGTTGCAGAGAGACATGTTCCTCCATGGGACTAGGCCTTGTGGGGAAAGGGATGCAAATATCTGTCCAGAGGAAAGCAATGTGATGAGTCCCTGCTGCCAGAAAACTCAGCACCTGGGGTCTTCAGAAGAGACAGGCCACCAAGATGGACGATAAAAATGTCCGGAGGCAAAGAAACCCTTCCTGGGTGATTCCTCCCTGACCTCTGGGCTTCTGGGAAGAAAGAAAAACAACACAATTGGGCAGCAACAGGTACCAGTCAGGAGGGCAGGGACTGCAGGAGGGCTTGGCCCATTGAGTCATGAATAGCTCAGATCAGGAGAAACAGCAGTCATCACCACACCCAACCCCTCTGGCCTTCAGGGAGCCTTGCATGATTGACAGCTCCCAGCTGCTGTTCATCACTCTTCCCATGGCGGGTGTCTGCCGCTTTGTTGGGCTGGCTTTGTCGGTACTTGCCTTGCCCCTCTGACTCAACATACACAAAACCCAGTGAACCTAGCACACTGGCTCCCATGTGGACAGGGGTCAAGCCCAAGTCAACAAACAGCATCATCTTCACCAGCATCGCCAGTGTCTGGGTCTCACTATGAACTCCTCCTCTCCCTCAATCTGTCCTGGAGGACTGGGACTTTGACTTTTACATGTCTCTCCTAAGTACAGCTATATAAGCTATACAAGGCAGGAACCCCTTATTGAGTCTCCAAGTTCTCCTCACCTGATGCACCCTCTAAGGTATCCAAACTCCACCACACCATTTTCAAGGATAAAATCCACATCTCAGTGTCCACCTGAGTAAGTGAAGCTCACAAGTTCCCCTTGGACATTTATTTCCAGACATCTCTCTGCTGTCCCCAGACATGTCACCTGAGTCTCCTCTGCTATTGGATCTTTTTGAAACACCTCCTCCCCACTTCCTGGTCCTTCCCAGGACCAGGCTAGTCTCCTGTGCACGCAGACTCATGGAAGGACTCGATCTATGCACTGTTATCCGTGTGGCTCCCTTCTCCTTTCCAGTATGTACAGCGAGTGTATGATCAGTAACCACTGGGAAGCCTTACTTCCTTCTCAGAGGGTGCCCTGGCCCAGAGAAGAGCCCCTTCCTTACAAACAGAGGGCCGTTTCACACCTCAGATAGGATTTCTGTTAGCAAGATTGTGTCTCTTGCAGTGGATAAAGGCCAGTATTCCCAGATCAAGCAAGGGATTACCTAAGGCAGGAGCCATGTCTCCTGCCCAAATGATGCTCCACATAGTGAAGACTAAACGTCTTTTACTGAACATTGGTGATACTCATAACCATGCCCTGAGTGCTGCCCAGAATTATTTGCGATGTTATTTGCACACATGTGTGCACACATAAGAAGAAATACGTGGCTGAGCTCTGTAGCCGCTCATCGTCAGGCCACGCCTCCCGGGACAGACTCCAGTGGTGATGGGCGGCCTGTCCTCCCTCTAGTAGAGGCTGTGCTGGGCACAGTAGTGTGCGCACAGCTGCCGGTGGAACTGCAGGTGATAGTCCTTCACCAGTTTGCCCAAGATGTACAGGAACTCATCAAAGCAGATCTGGTTGTCCTTGTTTTTGTCAGCCGCCCGGAACAGCTCTGTGATGTAGTATGACTGTCTGCGACCCTGATGAGCACAAAGAGGATCAATGCCCACTGAGCACCCAGTTTACCTGTCCTCCAGACCCCTCCTCCTGCTGGACATGGAGAGATCCCAGCAGCAGGGCCCCCTGCACAAGGAGCATTCAGGAAACAAGCCCTCACACAGTGTCCGTGGCAAGACTACTACATGCTGAAGAGGCGCAGGTGTCGGTGGACACCTTGGGCACCGGACCTAGAGTGCATGGGCGTGAACAAGAGACCAAACCCGGCCCTCTCACAGGAGAACTGTGAGCAGTTCCGGAACAGCACTCAGTAGCCTACACACACACTCAGTGGCTGTGTCTTGTCTTCCCAGCTGCACTGCAAGCTCTCTCCTTAGAGAGACACCTGTGGAGGCTTCCTGAAGGCAAGACACTGCCTCCTTTCTCCACACCAAGAGCTCCTTAAAGAAAGAGAGGGTCCACCTGTGTGCATGCACACACACACACACACACACACACACACACACACACACATCTCCCGTGCGACTGCAGGACCATCTTCAAGCAGAGCATATCTCTGCGTGCAGTGCTACCTGCCTAAGCACAGTTTATGAAACTCTACCTGGTTCACCTCCAGAGTACAGGAAGCAGGGAAGGATCGAGAAATGACTGCTGGAGCTGTCCAGGATGTCCAAGCAGAGGAGCCAAAGCTAAAGATCAGAATGGCTCAGAAAGGGACTGAGGTGGGGAGACGTGGAGACGAGCATGAGGAAAGTTGGGGTTCTTGCTTTGAGAGAAGATGCAACAGATGGAGACAGGTGGGCACGGGCAGAGAACTAGGGAGTGGCAGGAAAAGCAGGTTTCGGCAAGGTTTTCCTGGTGTACGAGGGCACACTCAAGTGCAGAATGGAACATCCAGGAAGAATTTGAGGGAAGGTAATGCAACTGCAAGTAGCTGCAGACCTAGAGGGTAGTCGTTCACCCCTGTGGGAGGGCCAGCAGCTTCTCCCCCTGTGGCAACCCCACCGTCCTATACCCCCATCACATCCGTGAAGCTTCCTAAGCAGAGGAGACCAGAGCCCTCATCAACGCCCATGCTTACCAAGTCTGCCAGCTATGCCCCTATGTCTGTTCCCAAGAGCCCTGCAGCAAAGGCAGAACACGGGCTCCATGATTGCAGGCCTAGGCAATCCAGGACAGCTGCCAAGGAGTTCTCCCCAGAAGGGAAAGGAGCTCCCAAAAACAATTAGCAAGCAACTTCCACCATAGCTGTCTTCTGGGCTCTCCAAGGAACATTCCAGAGAGAATGAGGTTGTCTTTTACGTTCTTTCCCAAAAGGAGGCAAGCGAGGAAGATATTTTACAGGAATGAGTTGCGTCCCACGTCCTCTAGAGATGGCAGGCCAGCGAGGCTGGGACACACAGAGTTTAGAAGACAGCATCGGACGTTGCTTCAGGGCCACAGTCCCTAAGAATCACAGTAGCTGGGAGTTGGACTGATGACAGACTGGCTGAGCAGGCTCTGTAAGCCAGGATCTGGGGCTGGCCCCATCCCACTTTAAGAAGCCCAAACCTTGAGAAGTGGGGGAGGTTATAGTTCCCAGGCCCACCAGACTAGGGCAGCCTCCACAGCCTAAATTACCCACTCCAGGCTCATGGCAGCAGCACTGGCGAAGGGATTTAGGCTCCAAGGGCTCACAGAGAGAGGCAGTGTCACTGAGTAAAGAGACTTGAGAACAGAGAACTTTGAGCCTATGCTCACGGGATGCAGGAGACAGCAGGAACAGCAGGTGTGGTGTGGAGCGTCAGGACTAAAGTGAAACCAAGCAGGTGACCTCAGAGGAGGGATGGACAGGAAGTAAAGCAAACCTGTGCCTGCACACCCTCCCTGGAAGGAGAACCTCTTCCTTCCAGGAGGTTCTCGTGGGAGTCAGCTCCTTCCAGCACCTCACCACTCACTTCCAACCCCACCAACAGCACGTTCTGAGCACTTCGGTCCTCTCTTCATCTCCCACTCCAACCCCAGACCTGACGTACCAAGGTGTTCATGAAGCGAGGCACACTATCCAGGAGCAGGGCTTTCAACTCCTCCAGGGACAAGGTCTCCATGTCCCCTTCCCGGGATGCATAATGGTGGAAGCAGTGTATGATTTGGAAGAGGGAGTCCTCCACTGGTGTGTCTGGCATGACTGCTGGGCCCAGCGGGGTACGATCAAATCCGCAGAGCAGAGGAGGCGGCACCGGGATGGTGGGAAGTCTGTGAGGAGGGAGCAAGACCTGATCTGCAGAAGGCCCTGACAGGATGGATTCTTCTTCCTGGAAGCATCTGCCCTCCTGCCCACTTTCCTATGCTGTCAGAGAGGGGGCTTCCTCATGCTTTCACTGGCCCCATGTGAACTTGGCTCAGTGTCCCTGCCCTCAATAGACTTCCCTGCCAGATCTCACCCTATGCTGTGCTCAAGGACCTCCTGGGTTCAGAAGTGGCCTCCTACCCCCTAATAGTCAGGAACAGAACAAACAAAAGATGGTTTGAGGCAAGGTGCTGCTTTTGTTGTTGACAGCAATAGTGTTGACATCCTTGACAAGGCAAGATCCCTTCCCCTGCAGTAAACTACTTTATGGGACTAACAGAACCCTAAAAGAATTATACTGCACAGGAGACTTAGGCTGGTGTTGTGTCACTCATGAGTTTTCTTTCTAACTGGAGCACACAGACAGCATAGGCTTTGACACCTTTGTCCCCACCACCATCTGGCACGTGATCTCTAGGCACTGATACCCCCCTCCCAGAAAGGTCTCTGTGATCCCGGGGCCTTCTCTCTCACAGCTCTATGTACTGTCCATCTGACGCCCATGACCTCTTACTCCAAATTTCCTACAGAAGCAGAGGTAATAGAGAGCTGCTGCCCTCCCTGTATCCTGTGTAAACAACAATCATAACAGCCCCACAAGCCCAGCTAGATCACAGGCAAAGCATCTTGTACGCTATCCCACTTAATTCACACAGGGCCCTGAGGAGTTGAGCATCACGACCCCAATCTCCTAAAGGGAAAATGACATCCAAAGAGGTCAGAGAATTTGCCAGGATTGCACAATCCTAGATTTGCACTCAAATCTTAGTGTCTGTGGACAAGCCCAAAGACATGCTTGTCCTCTGGGATCCTAAGCTACACTGGGGCCACAGTTGCATCATGCTGTGCTCGCCACACCGCGCGTGTTCTCTGCAACAGGCAAGCCGAGGATCTCTGCTCTCCAGGAGCTGCACACACCCAGCACAGCCCACACCACCCCCGAGATGCCCTGGAAGATGAACTGACCTGTTGCCCTCAGTGACAGGCTACTCAACATGCACAGCTTAGCCTCTGCATGATCCTGGAAGTCAGACCAAGGGCAGCCTTCTGAGCGGGGGAACTCCCAGCATGCTGGACATCCTGCCCATTCCTGGTCCACTCACTTATGACAGCCAGTGTGTGAGTCTCCGCAGGTTCTTCTACAGCAGGATCAAACCTTAACTGCATTCCTGGGATGACATCATCACACTCCTTACTAAGATGAACTCAGCTGGTTTTAGGGACCTACCTCCAGGATCTGAAACACCTCAGAGTCACAAAACATCTCATCATCCATCCACAACCTCCCATCAGAGCTCACCCCCACCCCACCCCCGACGTACGCACCAGCTCCAAGGCCACACTTAAAAACATCTCCCTTGGACGCCCTCCCTCAATTAGTAAACCTGCAAAGTCTACAGTAATGAATCACACTCATCCAGTCACTCAACAATATTTCATGAGTGCTTGCAGCATGCTAGGCCCTCTGCTAGGCAATATGAATAAGACTGGGCCAGCTAGCTCAAGGGGTGGGACTAACAGTTATACATGGGTACCATGTACTCTGGGCAACTAGAGGACAGTCTGGGCATCCAACAAGGGCTACCTTCTCCCAGAAAAATTGAGGAAGACTTACTTAGAGAGGTACTATTTGAGTGGTGTCTTGAAGAGAATTTTTTAAGTTGCTCCATAGGATGGAGAAGCTCTAGGCAGAGGGGACCGCCTGAGCAAACACTATAAGGTATGGAGTCATACAACCTTCCCTGTCCATGAGTACTTGGAAGAACAAAGCTCCGAGCAGCAGGCAGAGAAGGTGAAAGCCCTGTGCACCTAGCCTTGCTGAAACCTGACTTTCTGTGTGGAAAGAGCTAAGAAGTTGCTTTAGTGACCTGGGTGATGATGGAGGTCACAGAAAAGAACTAGGACCAGTTTTGACCATTATGAAATAGCCAACTGCATCCTGGAAGTAACTCTGCTGAGAAGCCAAGGCCTTAGAGCTGGCCTCTGCACAAACGCCACTTAACTATCCAGGGGCAAGCTAACCCTCCTCTCCATCTCATCCCGTGTGAGCCTTCCCTCAATGGCCCCTTCTACACGACCATCTCAACCTTGTAGCAACCTGGGACCACACAAGCTGATGAGTGTTTCTCCCAGGAGGTGGCGCCAAAGAACAAGTAACTGATTCAGAGTCTGCATCTCAGAAGGTTCCACAGAAACTTCAAGCTCTACTATAGAGCTATAGTACTGAAAACAACTTGGCATTGGCACAAAAATAGACGAATGAAATCAAATTGAAACTCCTGATATTAGCCCACACACCTACGAACACCTGATTTTTGACAAAGAAACTAAAATTATACAATGGAAAAAAAGACAGAATCTTCAACAAAGGGTGCTGGCATAACTGGATGCTGGCATGTAGAAGACTATATTTAGATCCATGTCTATCACCATGCACAAAATTTAAGTTCAGATGGATCAAAGACCTCAACATAAACCTAGCCACACTGAACCTCTGAGAAGAGAAAGTGAGAGGTACCCTTGAATGAATTGCTACAGGAGACAGCTTCCTGAACATAACACCAGTAGCACAGACACTGAGATTGACAATTGATAAATGGAACCTCCTAAAACTGAGAAGCTTCTGTAAGGTAAAGGACATAGTCAACAAGACAAAACAGCAGCCCACAGAATGGGAAAAAGATCTTCACCAACCCCACATCTGACAGAGGCCTGATCTCCAAAATATACAAAACTCAAGAAGCAAGTTTCCAAAACACCAAAGAATCCAATAAAAAATGGGGTACAGAACTAAATAGAGCATTCTCAATAAAGGAGTCTAAAACTTGACACTTTGAAGCTGCAGGAACACATGGGGGAAACACTAGGAGAGGACATTCTGGAAAGGACTCCAGTAGCTCAGGAAATAATAGCAAGAAGCACTATTCACAATAGCCAAATACAAAGAATCAGCCTGGACACCCATCAATGGCTAGAGATGGATGAGTGGACCAAGAAAATGTGGCCTATAGGGCTGGAGTGATGGTTCAGCCATTAAGGGCTAGGCTCACAACCAAGAAGACAAAATGTGGCCTATATCCTCAGTGGAGTCTTGTTTAGCCTCAGTGAAGAAGGAAAATATGTCATTTGCAGAAAAATGGATATCTCAGGAGACCATTGTGCTAATAAAATAATCTAGATTCAGAAAGACAAATGATGCAAGTGTCCTTTCATATGTAGAGGGCATGCACATAGAGAGGGATTGATATTTGTTGGAGGAGTGATACTGATGCAGGTTGGCAGAAATGATCAGGAAAGAGTGTTCGAAAAGTACAATGACATGCATGCATAAAAACGTCATCATTAAATTCGTTAGCTTGCATATTAATTTTAAAATTAAGAAAAAGAAACCCTTGTATGCCAAAAAACCCACCTAACTGCATAATGTCCATGGTATAGAAACAATAACATTCAACTATTTCTATTTTAATTTTCATTCAAATTACTTATAGCCTATTTACACAAAGTAATATTCCGATCATATGGAGAAGTGGAGAAAAAGAAACAGAGGCCGTGCCGGGAGGTGGTGGTGCACGCCTTTAAACCCAGCACTCAGGAGGCAGAGGCCGAGGATCTCTGTGAGTTCAAGACTAGCCTAGTCTACAAGAGCTAGTTCCAGGACAGCATTCAAAGCCACAGAGAAACCTTGTCTCGAAAAAGCAAAACAAGAAAAAAGAAGCAGAAGCCCTTGGTTTCGATAGAGATCATCTGGAGAGAAAGTTGGAGGAATAAAGTGAATTAAGACAGTGGGCCCCACCTAGGGAGAAGAGAGCACCATAGCTCAACGGAGGCCCGACATGCCTGAAGGCATGGTCACCAAATGAACCCTGAACTCTTCTTGTGCCGCATGGGGAATGTCAGACTCAGAGTAATGGGAAAGGCCCCATTTCAGTCGTTCATCTCCCTTTCCTCCCACCAACTTCCCAATTACCACTGACCAGCCGCTCCTTCATCCCCTACCTGCGTTAGCCTTTTCTGCATGGTGGGGGCACATCAGATTTAGTAGCATGACAGCCAACTCCTACACAGGCTGTTTTGCATAAACTACCTAATCCCCTACTACAGACTCACTCCTCAGTGGTCCTTCCATCGCTGAATCCAGACAGCAGAGAGCAGGAGGAGAGTGGCACGTGTTGACGTCCCCTCTTCAAGAGAACCTCATGAGCATTTGGCCATATGGTGCACTGAGGTGACCCTGCCTCTCCCTGGACTGTGGGTTCCCAGGGGCGGTTGCTGATGAGAGAGCTTCACCTGAGAGAACAGGAATCTGGAAGTAGGATTTTCTGCTGTTTGCTGAGCAAACTGGTGAAGTTTGCTTAACTCTGCACATGTCAGGGACTCTTTAGCTAAAATGAAAACACAGCCTAGCTGTTAGGATTATGAGAATTAAAGAGGAATGAAGGTAAGATGGGACTCTTGATGTATGGCTCATCAAACATTAACTGTGGGGTTGTGACTAGCTGTCAAGACAAATATCAAGAAATCTGTAGAAGGTCAAGTAAATGACCAAACAAAACCGTGCTGCCTCACAGCTTCAAAAATCCTAGCAACTCAGTGTTTCTCTCCCATTTGCCCATCTACTGGCCATCCAAAGGCCAAATTGAGTTGGGACAAGAGCCTTCTGCTCTTGAAGGTGCAGAACCTGGTCACTGGAAATGCTGAGACAGTGTGGAAAGTAAGTCTTACCCACAGGAAGTAGAGCAAGGCTGCGGGAAGCTGACTGCCTTGGTGGCCCTATGGTTCCCAGGCCCCTGACAAGGTCCAGCCTTATAAAGGGGCTTTCTCTGTCCAGGTGCACACATCTCGTCTGTCCTCTCCGTAGAACCTTCCTTGGCTCTGGTAAGTCAGTCAGCAATTGCCTCTTGTATCTTGGGACTGCTTGTATCTTGTATCCTGCTACCTGCAGGATAGGAAGCATCATGGGACCTGAGGCTAACCACAGCCCTGTCATCAACAGGCCAGAAAGCAGAGAGAAAGGCAATGCCAATGAGCCCTATAAACAGACGATCTGACCCAACAGCATAGAAAGCAAGACAGTTGTTTCTGTTGAGCTGATGCCTACTGTAGTCATCAATCCTTGTTTCCTCATTCCCAGGGTGCTCCAGGGATTGCTCTGAAGAGTCCAGGACTGGGCTTTGATATCCACTCACAGCCTTACTCATATAGCTGCGCTTGGAGCAAACACACTATTTCATGAAGAACTTAGAAGGGGTGATGATGAGGCCCTCGGGTGTCTGTCTCTGATACAGGATGGTCAGCGGTCACTACCCTCTTTGCCCCACTCTAACCTTGACTCTGAAGCTGAATGAGGTAGTTTTGATGCTTCTTAAAGAGGGGTCTACCAAATATTTGGTACGGCTGGGTACACTGTCTTAGGGTTCAACCGTGTTTTTTGTATGTTAACCCCCCAGTTCTGCCTGCTTCTATATACTGCTTATTGTCCACACTGCTAGACTTTGATCTACCTATATTGTCCTCTTAGTTTCTGAGTAGATCGTGGGAGCCCACAGTGCACTATTTCCATCTTAACTTAAGGGCAGAGAGTTCAAACTTACTCTTGCTCCTCCAAGTCAAATAACAGGATGTTAGGCCAAAGGCATGGTTACTAGATTATGTAAGAACTGAGGTAATTGCTCCTGCTTGTTCCTTGTATCATGGTAAGGAAGTCTTTTGCTCTCCCCTTTTGCTTCAGGTATAAAGGGCTATGAGAAATAAATTCGGGCCATCTGCAGTATTCACTGAGAGCCCTCTGGATGCTATCTTCTGTCTTTTGTCTATTCCTTTTATCAATCCTCACTCCCCTTTGCAGGCATGTTCGACAGGTCAACTGGGTTGGTCCTGAAAGTAGATAAACAAATGTTCCAGACATGCTCCTACCTTCCTCTTTTCGAACAATAGTTGTTCATCACATTGAAAGCAATGAGGTCCTTCTTCCTTCCCTCAGTCCTCAGGCACTTAGTCACACATGAGGAAGAGGGAGACAGGACCATCGTCGTTGTTCCCTACAGACTTTTGAAAGTAAAAATGAACAACACTAAAGCTAAGAAGTCCATGATGTGCATAATCAACATGTTCCATGAATACAGGGAAAGTGGTGACATGATCAACAAGTCAGGTTTGATGAAGACTGAGTGGGAATTTCCTCAACTATTCAATGTCTTCGAGAATGAAGGTCTGACTTCACAGTCTTGTTTGAGTTCTGCTATGGACAAATATTCATTGTGCTCTGTGATTTGCAGAAGTCAACCTTATTCTCTAGTTCTCAATGTTCACGTCTGCAAAGCAGAGTAAGTGGCATGACTTCGTATCTTGGATTAATACAGAGATCCTAAAGATGACAAAAGTGAGAAGGTATTGAACTGGGGAAGAGTTACGGGGACGTGATGGGTTAGGTAGAGAAATGCACTGCCTAGTCAGAGAGTGGACCTCCTTCTTGCTGTCAGTGACACTGCATGGGATGAAATGTCACTTACAGCCTCTGCCTCCTGAAGACTCTCTGTCACTGTATCTGATTTTTGTGGCGCAACACTGGTAATACCACCACTGATCAAATTTAACAGCCCTCTTCCAGTGGACAAAGTTCATTAACAAGGCCTCTTCACTGACACCCACATGCAGGGGGTCTGGATCAGCCTGGACTCTTGGAGGAGGGCCTAGGCCCTGCCCTGGATGAAAGGACAGACTCTGGAGATCCTCCATGGAGGGCCTCACCCTCCCTGGGGATCAGAGTGGGGATTGGGTGGGGAGCTGGGGGTCCTAGTGGGGGAGGCGGGGGAGGAAGGGAAGGAGAGGTAGCTAGGATTGACATGTGAAGCAAGCTTGTTTCTAACTTAAATTTAAAAAGGAAGAAAAAATTTAGAAAGCAAAGAAAATTTAAATTTTTTTAATTTTTAAAAAAAAGATAATTAACAAATCTAAGACAGACTCTAGATAACAAGAGCAGGGAATCCAGATGTAAGGAAAGGGATGTTCAACCACAATATTAGTCCTCCTGTAGGTCATGAGAGTGGATTTGACTAATATGGCTATCTAGGATGCAGTCCATTTCCTTACAGTCCCATGTGCTTCCATGTGAAGTTGTGAACTTTGTCCAAGAAGACAACCTTCCTTGATGGAGGACTGTTCTGTAAAGGGCAGAGTAACAATTGAACTTCCGGCTAGAAACTCCACATAAGGCCTCAAGAACAGTGAACCTCAAACAGAAGGCGGGGGGGGGAGAAGGAGGAGGAGAAGGAGAAGGAGGAGGAGAAGGAGAAGGAGAAGGAGAAGGAGAAGGAGAAGGAGAAGGAGAAGGAGAAGGAGAAGGAGAAGGAGAAGGAGAAGGAGAAGGAGAAGGAGAAGGAGAAGGAGAAGGAGAAGGAGAAGGAGAAGAAGAAGAAGAAGAAGAAGAAGAAGAAGAAGAAGAAGAAGAAGAAGAAGAAGAAGAAGAAGAAGAAGAAGAAGAAGAAGAAGAAGAAGAAGAAGAAGAAGAAGAAGAAGAAGAAGAAGAAGAAGAAGAAGAAGAAGAGAGGATTTGAAACAAGAAACAAGAAAACAAGACCCAGGCCTCTTTTGAGTCCCTGGCATGGATTTAAGACAAGTAGTACCAATACAGGTTGAGTAGTGTGGGGCGGAAGCTTCTAAGCCTTGGTGGCACACTGGAGGGGAAGCTGATGCAGAAGTCCCATTTAGAGCCAAGCACTCAACAGTCACTTATTCTCGGCTCTTTGATTATTATGAGTCTCTAGATTAACAAATGTTATGTGTTCTTCTTCATATGTGGATCCCAACCAGGAAGTTTTAGACTTGTTTAATTTTAGTTTCTGTATAGGCCAGAAGTCAGAAAGAGCTCAGAAGAGAAATCAAGAGTAAGAGACAGTAGAACATATTTGATATTAAAACTTTGACCATCCTTGATGGCAGCACTAATCTATGGATAAAAACGAAAATATTTAGAACTATCTTGTCAACATGAGCATCTAAAGAAACAGCAGAAGTAAGTTACCCACCAAGGCCAATGACCTACCCAACCATGAGCTTTTGAGCAGGTTTGCAACAATGGGCATAAGTTCTCCCCTGTGGAACAGGCTTCAAATCCAATTGAAAAGCAGTTAGTTATGCCCATAACAAGCATGCCGCTATTGTACCAATGGGCACACCTTGCCTGGTAGATTGGGATTCTAGCAGGCAGGGCCCGGTACCGGGCAAGACCACTGGTGTCTCTTCTCCCCCAGCACTCCGTGGCACCTTCCTGCACCATGGAAGCTAGTCGTCAAGGAGAAGCTTTCCTGGTAAGTTCATTCTTGATTTCTTCATGTGCTACAATGAAAGTGTATGGTGCCTTCAGCAATAGGGTTATACCAGCTAGTTATGATGAGTAACCAAGAGAATTGGAAGCAGTCTGTACTGTTTTTGAAGGCTTCTAAACCTACTTGACCAATAACTCACAGAGATATCACATGCCTGAGATTTTCATTTAATAATCCACGTCTTTTGATAGCGGCATCGTCTGCCCATGTGGAATACCTTTTTTTTTAATTACCTTGCAAAGCAGCAGATTTCAATAAGGCTTTTTTCATATACCCTCAGTTTTACTTAATTCTTCCTCCTCTCCTTTACCTATTATCTCTTTTGGGTATCATGTTGGCAATTCACCTTTGAAATTTCTAAAGAGAAGTTTATCTTAAAGCTCTCTCTCTCTTTCTCTTTCTCTCTCTCTCTGTCTCTGTCTCTCTCTGTGTGTGTGTGTGTGTGTGTGTGTGTGTGTGTGTGTGAGTGAATGCTAACATATGCCTATCTGTATGTATACAGGGTCACATGCATGTTTGCATGTGCAAGTGTTTGTGTACGAATGTTAAGAATGATGACAACTTTGGCTGCTGCTCCTCAGGATGTCTCTGTCTGCTTGTCTGTCTATCTCCTTTCTGATATAGGGCCTCTCAGTAGGCTGTAATTCACCAAGTAGGCTAGGCTGGTTGTCATGGTCCCCAGGGAAACACCTGTCTCTGTGTACCTAATATGGAATTACAAGTGCATGCCACCATACCTGGATTCTTTCTACATGCTTTCTGGGATTCAAATTCAGTCCCCTGGGGTATTTCCCCAGGCCTCACTCTTGAAATTTGATGTTAACCACACAGACCAGGCACTGAAAGATATTTCAGGAAGAGGTAGCCATTAGAAATACTGATATTAGAGAGTGAAATGCCAAACTGTGTTGGAGTTGGTGGTTGCAGGTTCTTCAAACAACAGGAATGGAGTAATTGGAGTGGTTAAGGGAGACCTGGGCAAGCAGAAGTCAGACAGTAGCTCTTGGGGGTCTTGGTGGCTCCCAACAGTGACTAGAACCCTTCATATGAAATCCAATTGATACTTTTTCTGCAAGTTACGTACTTTTGTTCTTCTTTGAGCACATACGCATGACTCGGTGGATGCATGCATCCGTGAGATGACAGCTTCTTCACCTGGTGCCAGGAGAATGGATAAACGAACCCAGATCTCTGTCTCCTCTCCCCTGCACAGTAATTAAATAAACCTAAGACCTCTGTCTCCTCTCCCCTGCACAGTAATTAAACGAATCTAGATCTCTGTTGCCTCTCTCCTCCACAGTAACAAATCAAAATGAGTCAAAGGCCTTCATGTAAGACTTGAAACTTTGAAACTGCTAGAGGAATACTCAGGGAAAATACTAGGCAAGAACTTACTGAAAAGACTCCAATAGCTCAGAAAATAACAGCAACAACTTAGAAATGGAGTTTTGTGGGATTTAAAAGCTTCTGTGCAGACAGAAAACAACTAGCAAATGAAGAAACAGCCTTTGGTTTGGGAGAAAACTGTTGCCATGTACACATTGGATAGGGAATTCATGTCTAGAACACATAAAGAATGAAAATTTAAACACTTCCGAATTAAATTATTAATTGATGAAGGGAGAAATGAATTGACAAGTTAGTTCTCCAATGAAAACACGTGGAAACAATGTTCAATATCCTTACCCACCAGGGGAATACAGATCAAGACTACATTGAGATTACATCTCATCCCAGCTAAAATGTCTGTCGTCAAGAATAAAAACAGCAACAAATACTGGCAAAGATGCTGAGGAAAATGACTCCTTAGAGGGATTGTCTTGGTGGAAAAGGAAATTAGCACAGTGCAGTGGTTGGAACAAGATACTCCCCATAGTCTCATGTATCTGACTACTTAGTTCACTTTCAATAGCACTGTTTGGGAAGGTATAGGAGGCGTGACCTCATTGGAAATATATCACTGGAGGGGGATTTGGAGAATTTAAAGACTCAGACCATTTTAAGTTTGTTCTCTCTGTTTCCTTCTTGGGATTCAAGATGTGAGCTCTGAGATGTTCCTGCCACCATATCTGCCACCTGCTGCTATGATGTCTCCACAATTTATGGACCTTAACCCTCTGGGACTGTAAGTCCAAATAAACTATTTACTCTATAAGTTGCCTTGGTCATGATGCTTTAACACAGCAATAGAAAAAAAAACTAATAAACACAGAAACCATGCAAATAAAAAATGGAAGTTCTTCAAAACACTACAAATAAAACTAAAGTATGATCTCAGCTATTTCATTTTGGGGTTTATGCCCTTTAAAAACAAAATTCAAGTCATATTGCAAGTTGGTGCAACCAAGCCCAGGGGGGTGAAATCGGGTGTTTATTGTGGCACTATTCATAACAGCCAACATATGAAATCAGCCATGACCAACGAATGGAGAAAATGTGATATGTATACACAGCACTCATTGGTTACCTACAGCTCTTCATCTAGGAGTGGGGCCTTGTAGAACATCCCCAATCCATGCTGGAATGTCAACTGCTGTCACCATTGTTCAGGTCTTATTTAGACAACCATATTGTTCAGATCCCATGGGTGTAGCTTCCCGGTCATAGATAGAAGACACTAGCTCATATTAGACACCCCATCCTTTGTATCTTACAATCAACCCCACCTCCTGTTCCATAATGTTCACTGAGCCTTAGGTGTAGGGGGTCTGTTATAGTCAGAACAATAGGGACTGGGAACTTCACATTCAAATGTTTTCTGCATTTTGATGAGTCATGTAAAAGGGACCATGGCAGGGAGGGCTGGGGAGGAGCACTAGAGAGAGAAATAGTAGAACATAGACATTATGAAAAGGGAAGTGAGAAAAACAGGGAGAGAGATTAACTGGGGTGGGGCAGGTGATACAGAGGATAGAAGTAGAGAAGAACTAAATAAAGCTAATGATGTTTGAAAAGTTCATTAGAGAATCATAATTTATGTTTACTAAAAATTACATATAATAATGCATATGTATACAGTTTAAGTGAAGTTATGCCACTTGGGGATTGTAAAGTTCCCTCAAGAGCCATAGACTAACAAAAACCTAGTATCAGGCCTGGGAGATCTTTTTAGTTGTTGTTAGTTAGGGAAACCCAAAAGACTCACTCCCATAGAAATATACGCTGTTTCCATTGTTCCTGGTTGCCTCCCAGAAATTGGAGGTAAGATCATCCTCATTAATTTTTAAGATAGATGTTCAAAAATTTAATTAATGATTTATTTGTTTCCATTTTCCATATTTCTTCTCCATCTTCTCTCCTCTTGTACTTTCCATTTTCTACTTAATCTTGACCATGGGTAGAGCAATTTCACAGGATAAAGACACATATGCAAAGAAGGGGAATAAAGAGCAATAGCAGAGCATTGGATCGAGGAGGGCCCTGAAGGGTGCCAAGCTGTGGGTTATGGTCTGGAAAGGACGTTCCTTGTGGGGAGAGGGAGGGGTGCTTTATGACTAGATGACAAAGGAACATCCCCATGGACAAATAGTTCATTCTTCATAATTTTCTTTGATACAGGGTTTCTCCATGTAGCCCTGGATGTCTTGGAACTCACTTTTCATATTTCTTGCAGGTGAGATGTAAAGGGATTTGGACTGCTAGTTTCCTAACTCTTCTGAGGAAAATGTTGACCTGATATGAACAGATGTGTTTTACTACTGTGGTAAGACAACTGAAACACAAACTTAAGGAAGAAGATTCGTTTAGACTTACTTGATTCATGGGTGTCAGCTGATGGCTGGTCCCATGGTTTGAATGAGAATGCCTCCCATAGGTTGATTTAGCTCAAAATTCTCACTCGTGCCCAGTCTCTCACTGAATCAGAAGCTCACTAGCCCAACTAGCCCAGCTGTCCAGTGAGCTCTTAGGATCTGCCTGTCTCCACGCCTACCCCAAAGCAGGGTTCCAGCCATGTGTGGCTTCTTATGCAGGTGCTAGAGATTCAAACTCAGTCCTCATGAGTGCAGAGCGATACTCTTACCCTCCTTGCTGTCTCCCCACGATCCTGACACTGGCTGCTGCAGTCTCTGTGGAAAGCTTTTGTCCCATTTGTATGCATGCAAGTCCTGGCAGGTGAGCATGGGTTATGCCCACTGAAACTTGTTCTCACACACCTCAGGTCTCTGCTACCTTTGCTTCCATCCCTGGAGTTTATAGCAGTCACCATTGGCCCAGCTGCCCTAAGTCCTCTGTCCCATTCTTCTTCCTGACAAACTCTACCTTCCATGACAACGGCTGAAATCACAGAAGGCTTGTTCCAAGCCACCCTGACACCTAGAAGTATTCCAGATAGGATCCAGTTCTGGCTAATGATGCAAAGAAGTCTTCTGGAGAACTTAGAGGGAGGTTGCTGCTTTGGCAAGAATATATATATATATGTATATATATATATATATATATCTTGCTCTGGATGTCATCATGGAAGGAGGAGTGTTTATGGCTTCTTGAGGGGAAAGGAAATACTTTCAAAGAAACTGGCATGATTGATTGACACAATCACCTACATCTGCAGCCTCTTGTATACAGACGGCTCTTTGTAGGAGATAAGCCTCTAATTGCTCAGTTTATAGCCCACCTTGAATAAGTTATTCTGATGTTTTACAACCAAAAAGGCCCCAGCTGGTACAAAGGTCCTCTTGTCTCCAGGCCAACAGTCGCAGCACACAATCTCCAAGTCCCTTCCTTGTTGCTGCCCAGAAATCAGACATCATCTGTAAGTGGGAAGAATGCAAGGGATCACTTAGGCTAACCCCAGCCTCCTGCTTAGATCTCTAAGGAAACAAGAGATTGAGTGAATATGTAGAAATTCAAACATGGGACCAAGTGAGATCCTGAAGGGAAGGCGAAGTAGTAAAAAGAAATAGCCAAATTTGGTGCCATGCACCAGTAATGCCAGCATTTGGGAGGTCTGGGCAGGAGGATCAAGAATGCAAGGCTATCCTTGACTACAGAGCAAGTTTAAGGCTAGCCTGGGCTACATAAAGCTGTGTCCCAGAGAGAGGGGGTGGGGAGGGAGGGAGGGAAGGAAGAAGATGGAGAGAGAAGGAGAGGGAGAAAGGAAGAGGGAAAGGGAGAAGGGAAAGAGTCAACCTGGTTTTTCCACTGACTGATGGTTAATTTCAATTGTCAACTTGATAAGACCAGGAATCATCTGAGAAGCAGGCCTCTGGCATTGGGTCATTATCATGATTTGGTTAATTGAGGTGAGAACACCTGTCCATTGTTCTGTACGCTGGGGTCCTACACTTAATAAAAAGAGGAAATCAATGAGCTGAACATTGGCATTTGTCACCCTCTGCTTCTGACTGAATGCTAGTGTTCCGCCCATTAACCAAACCGTAATAAGGGAGCAAAGGATTGTTTTGGCTCACAGTTTTCAAATATTGTCCGTTTTGGCAGGGATGTCCTGGTGGCTGCAGCCTGAGATGGCTGGTCAGCTGGGCAACTGCTTTTGTTAAGTATTTAATCAAAGCAGCAGCAAATGCAATGAGGACAATGTAGTATTGCTAAACTGCACAGCTGTGGTCACCTCACCCCAAACTACATTTCTTCATAAACTTGCTGCTTCCTGGCATATGGATTCTAGGTCCTCCCTTGTTTTCTTTTTTCTTTTCTTTTTTTTTTTTTTTAAGATGTATTATTTATTTTGTATTCAGTATTCTGTCTGCATGTATGCCTGCAGGCCAGAAGAGGGCACCAGATCCCATTGTAAATGGCTGTGAGCCACCAAGTGGTTGCTGTAAATTGAACTCAGGACCTCTGGAAGAGCAACCAGTGCTCTTAACCTCTGAGCCATCTCTCCAGCCCCCTCCCTTGTTTTCAATGCCTTCCTAGACTGTTAGGTCTCAAAGAAACTCATGACAAGTGGAAAACTGAGGTGCCTGCTAACATATCAAAGCAACCTCCAGGCACCAGGTCCTACCAGCAAAGCAAACACCTGTTACAGCTTCTCACCACAATGCCCACACTAGACTCTAGACTCTCCAGTCCTGTGCTTCCCCTCCCCAACTTCTTTTCCTACAAAGCAGCCACTTTGGCCAGAGCTCGCTCGGTGCCTCTCCCGGTCCCCTCTCTCTTCTCTTCCTCTCTTGCTCACTGCCCCCCCAAACACACACACACACACACACACACACACACACACACAAGGGCCTGGTTTATTCTGTTTGCCATATTCAGTCTGGACTATTCCAGATGCATCTGGTATTCTCTCATATCTACAAGAAAGGAGGGAAGAAAGAAAGAGGGGGGAGGAAGGGAGGGAGGGAGGGAAGGAGGGAGGGAGGGAGGGAGGGAGGGAGGGAGGGAGGAAGGAAGGAAGGAAGGAAGGAAGGAAGGAAGGAAGGAAGGAAGGAAGGAAGGAAGGAAGAGAAAAGCTTCTCCTCAACCATACCTAGGAGAGGTCGTGTCTTCATTTTCATAGCCCACCCCAACCATGTTCATGCCCACATTAGTGAGACACTCTGCTCCAGTCTGGTAGGTTTTGTTCCCTGAGTTTCAACAGGAGCCTCGATGTCCACCATTTCCTCCACTCCCACCCAACTCCAAGCCACCTCTCACGTATGACCAAAGTCTTCTCAAGATTCCCACAAGTGATGGGAGGCCTGGCATTCCCGGGCCCACCTCTGCCTCTGCAGCCTTACACACGGTCTTCTACCGTGTGAGAAACACCAGCCCTGGCACAGAGCAACACAAATGGGAAAAGTGCAAGCTGCTCACTGCCACCGATGCGCCTAAACGTTATGAAGGAAGAACCTCCGAAACGGTATTTCCATCGGGGGAATAACAAGACTTTCCCACGAGTAAAGAAAATTCAGAATATACTAGAAGAGGACATTCGCCGTCGAAACCAGACGCTGCGGAAGCTGGTGGCGGCCAAGGAAAACTCAGTCTTCCTTCCCAGAAGCCATGAAGGACAGGATCCTCAAGTTTGCTGCCGGAAGTCTGTGCAGACCCCGCCTGCCAAGGCCGGAAGTGAGGCGAGGAGGTCGGCTGTCTGCCCCACTGGCTTTTGAGAATACTGCCTTCCTTCCACCAAACTTTTCTCTGCCTGCACTCTCGGAGTTTCCTTCATCCAAATTAACATCTCGGAGTTTCCTTTATCCAAATTAACATCTTTTTTGTCTCCCTCCTCCATCCGTCATTTCTCACCTTTGAAATGGCACTGCTGCCCAGGCTGGTTATTCTTGACAATGACCGTGAACTTCGGTCAGCCCTTTTTTCTTTAAGACTGACGCCCTACCTCTCAACGACTGCTCCCACAAGGCCAGGAGATACATTATATTCTTTCATTATATTCTTCACATTACAACCCGTTACACCCAAGAGTGAAGAAAGAATCAATACTGGGTCACCCTGTCCTAGCCAGAAAGAAGCTCTGTGATGCCCAGTCCTGAGCAGTTTATCAGCAGTTTCTGTGGCCAGCTGAGGAGATACCAGTGGAATAAAGCCAACCAAGTCCCAGCAGCGCCAAGCAAGGATGAAAACCCTAGTGGACCTCAGCTAGGACAGCCTGGCCTCCCAGAACACAGGAGGGTAGGGCCACACCCGCTCTGACCTGCACTGAGGCAAAGGATACACTCCCAAGTTGTGTCTAACTTTCCTGGAATTTCATCCCACTAGAAAAGAGCAGAACAGGCCTGGCAGTGGTGGCATGCACCTTTAATCCCAGCACTCAGGAGGCAGAGGCAGGAGAATCTCTGTGAGTTCGAACTCGCAGAGCGAGTTCCAGAACAGCCAGGGCTACACAGAGAATCCCCCCCATCTCATTAAAAAAAAAAACAAAGGAAGGAAGGAAGGAGGGAGAGAGGTAAGGGTGGGAGGAAGGGAGAGAGGGAGGGAGGGAGGGAGAGAGGGAGGGAAGGAAGGAAGGTGCAGGCTCCCTGCCTACTGACACAGCTTCCCATACAGCCTCCCATGGCACCAAGTGGCTATGACCTAGTACTTCCATGGGCCAATTGCCTCTATTTCCCCAGCATCCATGTGTCATGCAACAACCCACACATCACGTCTGCTATGCCCTCTGGGCTCTCTAAACAACATCAGGGACCAATGAACAATCCATGGCAGACATGGACACTACGAACCCTCGAGGATCCTCACCAAAAGCAGGGAACCCCACCCCAGCTTGGAGGAAGCAGACATCTCAAAGCAGTTTGGAGCAGTAAAGTTCTGAGAGGCCTTCAGGGAAGGGTCCAAGTCCTCAGCTAGCCCAGACAAGGTTAGATCACCTTCACACCTCCTTGTTTCTCAAAGCCTCTCCCAGGCTGTCCTCCAACTGTGCTCGATTCACTAAGTACCTTCTGGGCACTGCCCCAAGAACTGGAGAAGGGAAGAGAAGCAAGACAGGTATCTCCATATCTCTCTATCTCTCTCTGATTATAGTCTGAGAATTAAGGGGGTTATGTTTTTATTGGCATATGTAATTATTATAGATGTATTAATTATAAAATGGTGACTGTGTAAGACACTGTATTTGTGTGCGTGGGGGGGAGGGGCATGCACATGCATGCAGGGCCAGAGGACAACTTCAGATGCTGTCCCTCCTCAATCACGGTGCACTGTGGACTTTAGTTTTCATTCTCTCACTGGAGTCTGGGCCTTGCTGGTTAGACTAGGTGGGCGGGCCATCGAGCCCTGGGTGTTTGCCTCTATCCACCTTCCCAGCACTGGGATTACAGGAATGTTACCATGTACTCTTACGAGAGTGCTACAAGTCACAAGACCACATGGTGATTATACAGATACTGTATCATGAGACAACTCAGAAGAATTAAGAATTCTTCTGGTGGATGGAACCAGTACAAAAGTTGTACTTGGTGTTATAGCCTTGTGAATGAATTGGCTGTTTCTTGCTGTAGATTCTTCCTGTGGCTTATTCCTTTCTGCAACAAAGTTGGGATTTACTTCCCACTGTCTGATCATTTACTGGGCACGATTTCCCCATGCTGCTGGAGTTTACTGATTACATTCCTTAGCTATGTGTGAGACCTGTTTCCCACTCTCAGGTCCTTGTTCCCCCCTCCTATGTAATTACAGATATCTGTCTTCCTGCAATTATCCTTATTGACAGGCATTTGGTCAGTGTTTAGGACCCAGGCATAAGCATTCCATCTAAGACATTCCCAGTTATCCAAAGACATAGAATTACTACACTCCCAAAGTTGTTGATTCACAGCTGCCTAGATAAATAGAAAAAAAATCAGCATGCCCTGGTTTTACCTCACTGCAGACAGAGAAATGATAACCTTAACTAACCCTACACTAGAAGATTATCAAACTCCTTGTTTTATTAACTCAAGACTTTTAGCTCAGAAATTTACTGCTCCCTCCTGTTTCCCCTGAGAAGATAAAGACAAAGGTAATCAGTGCCTTTGCTCATCCTCAGGGAAAAGTGAACTTTCCTGAAGGCCTGTGCTGCCAGTGAGGCCAGAGCACTGGAAGGCACCAGGCTTTGTTTCTTGTGAAAATTAAATTTAGACCCTCCTTGACTTAAAGCCCTGAGCAATTATTGCTAAAAGTTTCTCCTAACAGTTTTTGCTTATTGCTCTGTGTGTAAATCTTATTTGCCTTGCTGAGAAACTCAAGCCTCACATTGTATTGCAAAAAGAATTACTGTTACATATAGATAGATAGATAGATAGATAGATAGATAGATAGATAGATAGATAGATATTTCTCTCCCCCAAGAACTGGGGAGAGAAAGACAGAAAGAGAGGAAGAAAGAGCAGAAGAATAAAGGAACACGCAGAGGATCAATTGTGTGTGAGTCAATTCTTTTTTCCCTCGGATTTTAGTTCCTTTGCTTATTTGTAGTTCCTTTTTTTGAACCCTGAGTGAAAATTTTAAAAGCAGGTTCTTTTAAAGTTTTTGATACAAGAGTGTGGGCTTTTAACATGGGTGCTGAGACTCAGTGAGACTCAAACTCGGACCCTTGGGCTTGTACAGCACCTTACCACTGATGGTAAATCCCAAGATGTCAATTTTGACTTGTCTGTGCTTTTGTTCCCTTTTGATTACAAAAGTGAGCCACCCTCATTACAGGACAGGAAATGTGACAGCCATCATGCTCCAAATGATTTTATTTCTCTTTGTTAGTGGCTCTTCCTTTTACATTTTTATCAAACCAATGCATGCATATGCCTTTTTTAAAGTTAAATAATTCAGATGTTTGTACTATAAAAGTACCCGTGTTCTGCCTGCAGTCCCTCTCCTGGAGGCGATCACTTTAGCGACTTCCCTTTCCCTTGCTCTGCCTATGTCACTGCCTTGGCAAAGAAACTTCTGATTCTATATATTTAACTAACTGACAAGGGCATTACCACTGACACCCTGCAATGAAAGGGGTAAGCAACATTTTTTTTTCCTCTTCTCCCTGTCTCCCTCCTATAGTGTTAGTGGTTCCAGTCTTAGTGGATACAGTCTTTTTTTTTTCCTTCTTTTTTTCTTATTTAAGTTAGAAACAAGCTTGTTTCACATGTCAATTCCAGCTCCCCCTCCCTCCCCTCCTCCCCATTCCTCCCCACCAGGACCCCCAGTCCCCCACCAAATCTCCACTCCGATCCCTAGGAAAGGTGAGGCCCTCTATGGTGGATCTCCAGAGTCTGTCATGTCATCCAGGGTAGGGCCTAGGCCCTCCTTCAAGAGTCCAGGCTGAGAAAGCATCCCTCATTGTGGGATGGGCACCCAAAGTCCATTAGTACACCAGGGATAAATACTACCCAAGGCCCCATAGATTACCTAGGCCTCCTCACTGACACTCACATTCAGGAGTTCTGGGTCAGTCCCATGCTTTACACACAGCCATCACTCTGGGGTCCAAGAGCTCCCCCCTTGTTCAGGTCAGCTGTTTCTGTGGGTTAAGCCAGCCCAGTCTTAACTCCTTTGCTCATCAGTTCTCTCTTTCTGTCGCTAGATTCCAGGAGATCAGTTCAGTGTTTACCTATGGGTATCTGCCTCTGCTTTCATCAGTCGCTGGATGAAGGTTCTATTTCCAAGACTCTCTGGCAATGAGAATGTATGCTGGCACTCCCCTGATTCATATCTAAAATCCATGTATGAGTGAGTACATACCGTTTTGTTTTGTTTTGTTTTGTTTTTGTCACTCAGGTTGGTTTCTTCTAGTGCCATCCATTTGCCTGCAAATTTCAAAATTCCATCGTTGGTTTTTTTTTCCAGCTGAATAGTACTCCATTGTTTAAATGTACCACATTTTCTCTATCCACTCTTCAGTTGAGGGGCATCTAGGTTGCTTCCAGGTTCTGACTATTACAAATAATGCTGCTATGAACACGGTGGAACAGATGTCCTTGTTGTATGAATGTGCATCCTTTGGGTATATGCCTAAGAGTGGAATTGCTGGGTCTTGTGGTAGACTGAGTCCCATTTTCCTGAGGAATCTCCATACTGATTTCCAAAGTGGCTGTACAAGTCTGCACTCCCACCATCAGTGAAGGAGTGTTCCCCTTTCTCCACATCCTCTCCAGCATAAACTGTCATTGGAGTTTTTGATTTTAGCTATTCTAAGAGGTGTAAGATAGTATCTCAGAGTTGTTTTGATTTGCATTTCCCAGATGGCTAAGGATGTTGAGCACTTTCTCAAGTGCCTCTCAGCCATTTTATACTCCTCTATTGAGAATTCTCTATTTAGTTCTGTAGCCCACTTTTTAATTGGATCCTTTGGTGTTTTTGGAGACTTGCTTCTTGAGTTTTTTGTAAATTTTGAAGATCAGCCCTCTGTCAGATGTGGGGTTAGTGAATATCTTTTCCCAATCTGTGGGTTGCCTTTTTGTCTTGCTGACTGTGTCCTTTGCCTTACAGAAGCTTCTCAGTTTCAGGAGGTCCCATTTATTGTCAATCTCAGTGTCTATGCTTCTGAAGTTATGTTCAGGATGCTGTCTTCTGTACCAATTCCTTCAAGGGTGCCTCCCACTTTCTCTTCTAA